TTTCCCTAGAATTATTGTGAAGACGTCACGAACACAAATCGAATCCAGAATAGAATTACAAACTATCAAAATTAATTTTCAAAAACCTAATTTTATACAAACTGCAAAATCTCAAATCAATCGAATAAAGTGAACTAAGAGCATCATTTCATAGTACCAGTTGTCTGACCAGCATAATCTATTGCATGTGGGGTAAAATTAGAAGACTAAAATTTAATAAATTATAAATTATTAAACAAACAATAAGTAAATAACACCAAATAGTTCGTCGATTTCACAAGAAAAACCAAACCCACGACATTCAATACGGAACCCAAGGAGTAAAATACGTAATTTTCCAAACAATAATAAAATTTCAATTAGTATACGATTTCAGATGTAATCTATTCACTGGAGACCGACCTGGAGAGGTGAGCATGTTGCGGATTGTTTGGGAGACCATTGCGGCCTTTTTATCGATAACGAATTCGAATCCTTCGGCGCTGATCAGCTTCACCGTGTCTTCCTTCATCTTCACTCACCACCAAACTACGGAATTTTACCAAAAATCATGTAATTTACAGAGGTCTTCAGTTATACGTAATTTAATTGCGAAACAGTTGTTACCAACGAGTTCCCCATTCATGTACTGTTATTTTTAATATACATTTTTCTTTTTCTTATTTTTAATCCCAAGTCAACACAAATTCAAAATATTTTCTTATTTTTTAATTACACATTCTCTATCAAAACACTGTTCAAAAATGTATTTAAAAAAAAAATTAAAATGTTGTTCGAGCTGCCACGAAATTTTAACACACAGCACTCTATCACTTACTCACTCATTATATTTTATAAGTTACTAAACTTTTACATGCTTCTAAGTAATCACTGAATTTTAATACGTTAGATTTCATCACTCATCCACCACGTTTTATTAGTCACTAGGCTCATGCATTCATAACACTTTACTCGTTAAACAAACAAATGTTTTTGAATGGTCATTAAACTTAGCAATGTTTTCGATTAAAGTTGATATTCTATGAGATTAGATCTAAATAAAAAAATAAATATCAGATATATAACGAAACTCTTAATCTAAGACGAATATTGATATTGATCAAGAAAATATAATATCTCTATTAATCAAAAGTTATGTTCAAGGAGATGGAAGAATGATGCTTAAAGTGATATATATCTTAATTTAGATTACAATCTTCTTTTGCGTCTAGAAAAGAAAATAAAGAAATATTGAGATCGTAGTCCCAAATTAAGAAAATAAAAACATTATATCTCAAACGATAGTGAAATTTTCGATTTAGAGTAAACAACAAAAATTAAGACTAAAAATACTTCACCCGTCCCAATTATATAGACATGTTTCGTTTTTCACACGGATTAAGAAAGTTTCTTTAATGTCATTAGAAAATAAATTTTTGCCAAACTCTTTCCTAGTTTACCCATATTTAATTTTCAGTATATAAAACTAAATACTGAAAAATTAAGTTTTGTCAAGATCTTTCCTAATTTACACATATTTAATTTTCAATATGTAAAACTAAAATTTTGTTGGAACTAATAAATAATTTGAAGAAGAAGAAGAAATGAGAGTTGTTTCGTGTTTTCAAGAAGTGAAAAATGTGTGTATTTGGATGATTTCAAGAAATTGACATATTAAGTGGGGAAAATTTAATAAAGCTATATTGGTAAAGGAACACAACAAAATAATCTATATTAGGAAACATACCTATATATTTGGAATAAGAGAAAAATGAAACTCAGTTTATATAATTGGGTCGGAGGGAGTATAAGTTTTAGAGTTGTCGCTATGTAATTTAAAAAGAAATAATGACATAGTCCTTGTGTAAGATATTTTATATTTCAAAATTTTCAATTTTTGAACATTTGAATTCAGTGAGTGCAGTTCGTTGATGACTTATAAGTATTTTAAAATTCAGGGATTAAGCCGTGATAAATGTATAAATTGAGTGATTAATGAAAAATCACGATAATTGCGTTTTTACATATTTATTTTACTGTCAAAACATAAGCAATAATTGATTAATATCTTGGAATATAGCTTAATAATGAAGAATGAGAAATAGAATGAGAAAAAAATGGGTGTCTGATAAGTACTTTTTACATACTTATTTTACTGTCAAAACATGAGCAATTGTTGATTAATATGTTGGAATATAGCTTAATTCTATGCAATTCATGTTTTACAGGACAAGTGATGAATGTAGCGGAAATAAGGAGAAATAAGTAAAAAATGAACAAAATGGAGGAAAATAAAAGTTTAGGGACTAAAGTGCAAATACTTTAACTTGTTTCTAACCTTGTGATGAAGATTTGAGAGTGTTAGAGGTCAATTATATGAAGAAAGGAGTCAAAGGGATGAAATATAGCCAAAACATGATCACATATCAATTTTCAAGCTGAAAATGCTGCACCAGTTTTTAGTCTCATATTGAGACCACTTTTTGACATGGAAAACGATCGAATTTGAAGATGGTATTTGAAGAAAAGTTGTATCCATTTGAGTTAGATTTCCAACTCATTTTGAATCAGCTCAATCGGATACTTGTGAAGAAAGTTATGATCTAAATACCGAACGCTATTCAAAGATAAACCTGCGCACGCGCAAGCAAATTCTATCGCGCGCGCACAGGCATGAATTTCACTTACCGAGCCTAAAACAAAGGAAATATATGGCGCGCGTGCACTTGCATTTTTCACAGACGAATCTTTAGTTTCATTCTACGATTCAAACTCTTTTGGTAACATATCTTGCACGACTTTTCAACCTTAAATACATTCCAAAACACCCCAGAACGCCTCATTCTTCATTCTACACCATTCATTCTTTGATTTGGCTTAAGAAACACACGAGGAACTAAAACCCTAGGTGAAGCAAGGAAGAAACTCATTGGATTCAGTCATTTCGCATCAATTTATTCATGTAATTGCTGAACAATTCTAGAATTTAGACTTTCATTCTTATAAATTTACATTAAAATTGGTTTAATTCTTATTAGATTTTTAAAGTCTAGATTTTAGAATTACTATTAAATTAAATTGATTTGTAATGATATATCTTCTGATTAAAGTGTCGGGACGAAAGCCTCTAATTGAGTTATAAAATTGAATAATTGATGTGAATGACCCGATCCAATTAAGGGAATTCTGATACTTCACTACCTCAAATTATTGATTTTAACTTTATTACTTCAATATCGAATTTACTATAAATTTAAGAGAACAAATTCATTCTTTTTGGAACATTTAAGCATTTTTCAATCTCCCTATAGATACGACACTTCAAAATTGTGCTACAACTACCGCATTATTCTTTGGGCGTAATCAAATCATAAATGAATAATTGAGTGCAATATATTAAATTGGGGGTAATTAGCACATAACGTCATCACCTTTCATTATTATTGTGAAAAACGTCACTAGCTTTCATTTTTTGGCATTTTCACCTCTATTTTCACATTTTATTGCACAAAATGTTATTTTCACATATTTTTTTCAATTATAAATTATGAAATGACGAATATACCATTTTCTTTCAATAAAATAAAAGGAAAAAACTAATTGCAATCACAGTCCCAATTTTTTTAAAAAAAGAAAAACTAAGACACAAATAAATTATTAAAAGTGTAATTATTATACAATGTCTCTATCTTTCACCGTTATTGCGAAAAGTGTCTATACCTTTCTTTTTTTTTCGATATTTCTATCTTTAATTACACACTTGATTGTGTATACCATCATTTCTATCCAATTTTTCAATAAAAAACTGTGAAATAATGAATATACCCTCATAGTTAAATAAAATATATATTTTTAATTTTTTATTAATTTATTTGAAACCCGTTTGCACTTTTTCAATTTCTTAATTTTTTTAATTTTTAAAAAAATTTAATTGGGACTTGTTTGCACTTAAAAAAAAATTATTTTTTAAATAATTTACTGGGGACTTGTTTACACTTTTTTTTTAAAAAAATTAGGACTATAGTTACAATTAATTCTTTAGCTTTTTATTTAAATAGGATAATATATTATTCATTTCACAACTTTTTATTGAGAAATTGGATGAAAATGGATAAAAATGATGGTTTGCGTAATTAAATGTGTAATTAATGGTGAAAATACTAAAACATAAAAGGTATGGACTTTTTTGCAATAATAGTGAAAGGTATGAACATTATGTGCTAATTAACATTTTAATAATTTATTTGAAACTCATTCAATCATTTGTGTTTTTTAAAAAAAAAATTGGGACTATGATTGCAATTAGTTTTTTTATATTTAAAGAGAAGGGTATATTTGTAATTTCACAATTTTTAATTGAGAAAATGGATTAAAAGCGTAATGAAATGTGGAAATAATGGTGAAAATGCCAGAAAATGAAAGATAAGGATGTTTTCTACAATAAGAGTGAAAGATGAAGATGCTATGTACTAATTACCCTATTAAATTGGGGCATTTATCAAATTGACCTAGTTGACTAAGCCTTTATAACCTTTTGTAAAAT